GTAGTATATATATATATATATATATATATATATATACACACGTCTCTTTCCCTCTCTCTGTGAAGAATGAGGGAAGAAGAAGAACTCGAGGCGTCGCGGCGCCATCATGCGTCGACTTTTTCTTGTTTCTTCGAACAAACTTCTTTCTCTCGTCCACCTTAAGCTCACCCCCTCGTTTGAATTATTCTTTTTTCTTTCCTCCCCCCCTCCCCTCCAAGCGAGGCTCACGTATCAACACTGTATTTGCCGCACGGTTTTATGCAAATGTAATCAGATTATTTGCCATTTTCCCGGGCGAATTTTGTAGACGGTGGTGTTTCAGGTGGTAACGGTTAATAGGGGCGCATGCGTACGAGCGAACGATCGTTCCTTAATCGATCGCCGCCACCTCGTGTACAACCATCGCTGATAAATTTCACCCCGTGGCCGAGGTATACACGTATCTTCGATTATCGATTCCGCGTGTTATCCGCGTAGAAGATCGTTCCTCGAACGAATCAATTCGATACGAGATTATTTTCGAGGAAATAAAGATTGGTAGATCGGGGATTCGATTCAAACTCTTGTTAATTTGTAATATCGACGTATAAATTCCACGCTTACAACTCGTCGTTACTTCATCGTTTATTTCGACGCGTCGCGATAAATGTAATCTGTGAGAAGAGGAGTGGAAAAATGGAGGAGAGGATGGATAACCTAGAGAGCAGCAACGTTGCAGCAAACGTTGTGGCTCTTTCGATTTTTCCTCGCGCGCCGATAGGTGGCCGCCAGTTATATCGATCGAGGAGGTCGAAAACCCGAGGCGACGTGTCCGATTCGATCAGGCCCGGCTGTAAAACGTTAACGATGCTTCGTGTAATTGGAGTGACCCCGTTTGACCGCGATAATCACCACCACAACCCCCCTCCGACGCTGACCTCTTGGCCCTCTCCGTCGCGAAGAATCGCGTAACAATGCAGTAATGACCCGTGGTGTAACTGGTAAACGGACGACTACCCGATCTACTTATCTCGCCGTTCTTTCATTTACCATCCTTCCACGAATTTTTTTGATAAATCGAGAACAGAAGTTTCTTTGCTTTCTTAAAACTTTCACTAATAAAACTTCGAATTATAACCTAGTTACCTAGTCGGAGGGAAGTGTAAGAAAGTATCGCGAAATTTTCGTCAATTTTCCATAAATTTCCCGTTCCGTCGAACTCGAACTCTCCCCCCCGCGCTTTAATCAGCGCCCCGCTCTCGTTCGTCAACCAGCGACCACCAAGTTGAACCACGGTGCCGAAAGATTGCGTTCCCGCTCTCCTCTCCTCTGCCAATTGAAAGCCCAACGAACCGTACACACACGGTTGCACAGGATGGTCGTTTTAGATTGGTCATCCCGCGGATTCGCATTTATTATCAGCGATTTAACTACTTCAACATCGCGCCTCCACCTTCATAAATATCGGCTACCGTGGCCCCGTGGAGAACGATCGTTGTTGCGATAGGGACGCGCTAGATCGCGGTTGCACGATTCGCAACGCGGTGAATAAGAGGGAGGGGGACAGACGGAGCGAGTGAAAGGAGAGGTGGAAGAAGGAGAGCGATCGCGCGGGTGCAGAGGGAGGGGAGAAGCCGGCCGGGCCGGGAGGGGGTCGGGGCTCGGGGGGAGGGCTCGGGCGCGGAAAGAGTGTGGGGGGGGGTTTGGTCGAAATAGAGGAACGGTTGGGTAGAGAGCGTGGCGCGCGGTTCGGTTCCGAGTACAGTCGGTGTTACGCTAGAGGCTATACTTATATCTATGGGCGGTGGTGCATGGTGTGCCATGATGGCAGTAACTCCGCAATCCCCGGGCTTAAACTCACCTCGCAGTGAGGATCAGTGGGGAAACTTGCCGTGCCGCGGCTTAAAGGCTTCGTGGTTGCTGCTCCCTTGCTTTCCAGGGACCAACTTTTCGCCGTGTTAATGGCCGCAATATGATCATACGTGAAACGTTCGAGCGTATTTATATAAATCCGTACGCCTGTTAGAGCGTAGCGCCGATTCGAACGGGAAGAATCTTTTCAATTTTCATTCCCCCTCGATACAAAGATCTCGCTCACAATCCCCTTTCGAAGAAGCTGATCCCGCCGCTTCTTTTAAGGGCATCTCACGAATCACGTATTTCACGGTTGATTCCTTTTTATAGAAAACGGTTCGTTTTAACGCTCTACGTCTGCGAACTATTCCTAAGATAAAGGGAGACACGTTTCTTCTTGCATACACGCATATAAAGGTGTATATAAAACGTCGGGTATCCGAACAATTCCAACTTTTCCTTTCCGATTCTCTGTTTACGTTTACGTACTCCCACGCTCCTTCATGCCCTGCACCGGTAGAAAGAGAGATCCACGACCGCTAATAAAGACATTAATATTGACCGCAAGCAAGTGTATCTCGATGTGCCGGAAGGGCAAACGCGATTCGACTTTGGGATAACACTTGGGAATAGAATGGTCGGTCACGACAGGAATAACGTTTAAGAATAAAAGATGAGACCACAATGAAACTGCCTATTGCTTATTCATAAGGTGCACGAAAGGGGTATTGGTATCGTATACCGGTTTTATATATACATATATATATATATATTATACATAACGAAATTCGAAATTCGGTCGCGAAAAGAACCCGCAATTAATTTTCTCCATTTCCTCGTGGAAGATTTCCACCCATATCTCACTCATCCTGTAAATCGAGCACAAAGCTTCATTACGGTTGGGGAAAAGCTGGCTGGAGGAGATGGATGCCTACCAACTGTGCAACTTACATCCATCCCGGAGGAGAAAAGCGAGATTTCCTCTTGTAAACGAAGGACAGATGTGGATGGAAGGACTGTCCATTGGAAAAACAGGTTCCACGGGGAGCGGAACGTCCCAATAATGGACCCACCACCCCTCGAGGAAGCTGTTACAAAGGGAGAAAAGGGACGGAATATCGGGTTACTCTTGTTGCGAGCAACAACCTCCCACATACGCGACAATTCCCCTGATTACTTCCCGTCACCGATTTACTCGAAAAACTCGTAAAGTATCGACGATTGTTGTTTGTTGCGTTGCACACAACGCCGCCATATTGCAGTCTACTTCTCGCATACATCTTCCCCCTCCCTCTCGCTTTGTCTCGAGCCTATCGGCGTGACACACGATGGCCCCAACGAATCGATGATCCTGTAAAAACTTGATCAGCCCCTGCTCAAAAGGGGGCGCGAGTTTCTTTCGTCGATGATGGAACGGAGATTTTAGTTGGGACGGTTTTTGCCATTTTGCAATTATAATTGAAACGTGGAATTTTTCCGATAAGAAAATTCTGGATTCTCGTATCGGACGTTTCCGTTTAAAATTTGTGTATCGTATTTACAATGCGATTGTTAAAATTGAGAGGAATATACTAACGCGAAGATATAACGCGAATTTCGACGAAAAAAACCGTACGAAATTTACCGAATTTCGAAGGGTAAATTCGCGATCGAGAGCGAAACTCCGTGTTTGTTTGTCATCCGCGTTATAACTTGGTTTGCCAGCCATTGATTACAGCCACGGTGCCTTATCTTCCCCTTACACGCCTGGGGATCAGGATCCCCATGGTCTTTAAATGTCTCGTACATCCCCGAAATTAATATCTGTTGGTCCAATATCATCCGTCGTACGCCAACCTCCAACCTTTGCCTGCGAATTACGGAACAGCTTTATTAAACCTAACCTTCTCAATGATTTTTCCACCGATATTTTCCGTCGTGACGTCTTCGAACGAGTCGTGACATTGTGTTAACAATGCTGGATCAATCTTTAAAAAATCTTCTTTAAAAACCCGAACGCTTAAACCAGAGATATTCTCTGGAAAATTCGTCGCGAACGAAATCGTAGGTAAATTTTAAAACGGAAGATTTCGCATAATACACACGCTCCCAACGACGAAGAGGCCGCTTCCTTTTTATCAGCTAATTATACACGATCGGCGCGATTCTCGTCGGGATCTTTCTTCTCGCGCACGGCAGGCAGGCCCCCGGTGCGTAAAACGTGCAAAACGAGGGTCCAATCGAGGCGGTCGAAATTGCATCTAAAAGTCGATCGGCGCAAGTAGGAATTTTCGATGAGGAGGATCGGTAATTTTTTAACGCGAATACGGCACGCATCGTTCGCATACGTTGCCTCTTAATAACAACGAATAAGCGTGAGAGAGAGAGAGAGAGAGGAATATTCGGCTCACGGATGATGCGACGATGATGATGATCCGCCATCTCACCGCAACTTGGGAGGTCCGCTCTTGATATCTCCCCCTCCCGCTCCCCTCGCCTCGCCTTCCACCCATTTCTTCTTCGTACACGCTTCACTCTTTCGCCTGCCCTGCCTCCCCCC